AGGAAAAGAAGGAAGGAAGGAAGAAAGGAAGGAAAATAAGGATACACTGAAAGAGGAGATTGAATAGGGGGATGGAAGAGATCAATTTCACTCATTTTGTACCTTCTCCTGAAATCAAGACTGGCTTGACTTCAAGAACTAATTTTCCTCTCTCCTTATGACCAGGATTCTATTTCTTTTGTTTCCCCAGACTCCCATACCAAGTGTGCCTACATTCCAGCCGTCCACATCTATCCCTGAGCGCCTGGAAGCCATACAGCGTTATATCAGGGAGCTGCAGTATCCTTTGCCACACTGAGTAGTATTTCTCATGTTCTTTCCCTGGGATCACCCAAGCCTATCCAAAGGAAGGCACCACTATTTATTGCATTGCCCTGAGATGGAAGCTAAGCCCTTGTCAAGGAGGACATTGGAAAGCAGTTTGTTTTCATCCCATTTTGTTGTGAATTCAATGAGATAATAATTGTAAAGCACTTAGTGTCATGTCTGGCAGGTGCTTTTAAGTGTTCGTTCCCTTCTTCTTCACCTTGTGGGCCCAGTGGATAAAGCACTAGGTCTGGAGTCAGAAGACCTGAGTTCAAACCAGCCTCAGACATTTACCAGCTGTGGGACCCTGGGCAAGTTCCCTAAACTCTGTCTGCCTCTCTTACTTGTCTTAGCACTTAGCACAGCACCTGGCACACAGTAGGCCCTATAAATGCTTGTTCCCTTCCCCCACCAACAGGAGAATTAGAATTTTGGATATCTCCTGAGATACCTTATAGACTCCAGATTCCCCGGTGTTAGGGAGAAAACTGACCATACAGGGGAATTCCTAATTCAGTGCAATTTAAGAAGCATTTATTAAGCTCCTACTGTTTTCCAGTCACTGTGCTAGGCTCTGGGGATCCAAAGAGCTGTATGCTTGCATGATACATTTTTAAGTTGAATCTGCATTATTAACATTTTCCCATCATTTTTTCTAGTCCAGACAGAAAACAAAACAGTTTATCAAGCCTTGATCCATAGCTTTTGCAGATATCTGAGGTACAAATGCTCACACACCATTTAACAATCAGCTCTGCTGGTTTGAGCTGTCTCCCAGCACACCCCTGGATACAGTGACAAAGCAAAACAATTCCTGCCTTCAATGAGCTTACATTCTATTGGAGAGAAACGACACACACACATTATGTTTGAAGAAACTTTATGTATCAAACATACACAAAGTAACTTTGAGGAACAAAGCACAGACCTAAAAGGAAGAGGAGTTTAACAATAAAACGTAGGCTCCAAATAGCAAAATGGAAGGATGGGAAACAGTGGGAGAGGGACGCTGGAGGGATGTTGTTGGTGTGGGTGGTGGTGAGGGAGTAGGGAGTGGTGGTCAGAAAAAGGAGCTTTGACTACACAGACTACCACTCAGAATCACAGGCACTCTTGAGCGGAGCCATAGGGTAGCAGATTATTGTGCCCTTTACAGTAGCAAAGGTAATGTTGGATTTGAAAAAGAGGTTCAAAAAATGAGTTATGCCTATGGCAGAAGAGCAGATGTGTCTAAGAGGCAAGCTGGCGTTCCCATCCTTGATTTCTCTTCCCTTCTATGGGAAGCCAAATGGCCCTTAACCTTTTGCCTCCAGGTACAATCATACAGGGACACAGTTCTTTGAAATTAAGAAGAGCAGACCTCTGACTGGGTAAGTGCCTCCTTCCACTGTTCTGATCAGAACTGTTCCCAACTGAATTCCTCGGCAGCTATGTTTTTCAGTAGAGATGTATCAAGCTATTCCTGGAGGAATAGAAGGTCATCCATGGTGGGGGCAGGGTCTTCATACAAATGGAATTAGGTTAAATGAAAGTCAAGGGCAGCCTTGAAGAGAAAATGGATCCACTGAAGGGTAATGTGCAGCCTGGAGTGGAGCCATTTTACCTTCTTGCTTTGGTAGTTTGGAGGATGGGGGTTAATTAAAATTATCAGGTGATGAAGATACAAAGATGAAAAAATTACACAGTCCCTACCCTCAAAGTGTTTATACTTTACAAGATAAAAATGATTAAGCAAGTAAGAGACAGAGAGTGACCTGAAAGGTTGGAGGAAGGTTATGTGACTTCTAACTGAGAGGTTCAAGTGAGGTTTCATGGAGGAGACAGCACCTGAGTAGGACCTTGAAGGAGTGGAAAGATGTCGGGAGTCCATTCCAGGCATATGGGACAAAGGTGGGAGAGGGAAGAATAAGATAAGCAAGGAATGAGTAATCCATTATGGCTAGAGTTTAGAGTAGATAAAGGATAGAAGTATGTACTACAGCTGGAAAGGTAGATTGGAGGAAGATTATGAAGACCCTCTAATGCCAAGATAAGAAGTTTATATTTTATTGGTAGGCAATAGAAATCAACAGGAGCATACACACACACACACACACACACACACACATCTATACACATGTATATGCATATATCAGATTTTTTTTTAATTACTCAATGAAGAAGGTACCTCCTCTAGTCTTCCTCCTAGAGTCACTATCCAGACCCTAAACTGAGGGGCAAAGAGCAGTCCTCCCATGCCATAGAGAAAACTCTGTTACTTTAGCAGAAGTTCTAAAATAGGGGTTCTTAACCTATGGTCTGTGAACTTTTTTTAACATTTTGATGATTGAATTTCAATATAATTGTCTTTGTAATCCTTTTGCAAAAATCCTTTTTTACTTTATTTTCTGCTTTTGAAAACATTGTTTTGAGAAGGGCATAGGCTTCACTAGACTGTCAAAAGGGTCTATATCCCAAAAAAGGGGGTCAGAACTAATTGGCATCTATTTGACAGAGTCTATGCCTGCCTGTCTTTTCCTCCTCTCCCTTCCCTCCTCACCTCCAAGCCTACCAATACCTAATGAGAGGCTGGTACCCAGTGAGGACACCCTGGAGAAGATTTCAAGATTGGTCCCTATTATGAGTAGGCTCGTTTGCCATTTCTCAGTGAATTAACTGATAAGAGCTGAAGAATGCCCTGTTCCCTTCTCTTGTGAAGGGAATAGTCTGAGTCTGAGTTCCCAGGGGCCTGGTATGATGAGATAGGTCTGATCAGCTGGAGGAAGGGATTCAAGTTGCTTTGGAAGTAAAATCTAATAAAGCCCCATGGATTCCAAACATAAGAGTCTAGAAACAACAGGGCTTGGAGTTAACTGAGTTTAGACTGTCTAAAATTATTATTGAAGGACAATAGAGCATTGAGCCAGTTGCAGACTAGCGATTGCTCCCAGTTACATGCTTCTTGGACAAACCATCATTGTATCACTAAGGCTTAAATGTTCCTGCCTCTACCCCTTCTATTCCTGGGGTAAACCAGCTGGCTTGGCCCCTTTGGAGAACAGCTATTAAAAGAGGAGAAGTCAACCTTGAGGCCTTGGGAAAAGCATAATAAGTTTTTCCTCTCTTCCCCTAGCCTCCTCAAATGGCCACCCATCTAAGGTGGGGGCTCTCACCCTCTGCTAATGATTATCAGATGCATAAGGGTGAGTAAAGGGATATAAAGAAGAACACTGCTAACTGGCCTACTTGCCATTGCCCTATTCCTTCCTCAGGAGGTCTCTTGGACCAGGAGTCCAGGGTTTGGGAGATGTGGGTGGGACAGCAAGGAGAAAGGACTTTGTGTTATAGCAGATGTGTAATACGGGGGAGAGGGAGCAAATTCTCACCTTCTTTATCATCACACTGAAAGCTTCCCCCTTTTCCTTGTTTTCTTTCATTCCCCATCCTTCTCCAAAGAGTAGTCCTTTCTCCTCTTTCACCAGGGAGAGAGAGGACATGTAAATGAGACACGCCAAGCCAAAGCAGAATCAGCCAAGAAAGTGATAGTTGTCTGTTTTAATTTGCTTGTTGCTTGCCCTCCTTTCCATTTCTTGCCCATTTCAGCCTCTCTCGATTCCACCTCCCCCCTCAGTGGTGTCCTCCTCTGGGTCCAAAGACAATTGATGAAGCGTTCTTCCCTGGTCTGACCCTCCCTCTTACCCCACAGGCTGATGGACCTGGCTAAGGAGATGACCAAAGAGGCTCTGCCAATCAAATGCCTAGAAGCTGTGATCCTGGGAATGTATCCTTTCTCCTCACTCCGTGCCCTTCTCTTCTATCACCACTCTACCTTTTCTTCTACCCAAGCCTACTCTTGGCATGGTGGAAAGAGCACTAATTATCAATCAGAAATGCCAGGTACTAGTCTTGGCTCTGCGCCCCACCCCCCCATCTGTGAGACTTTAGGCGAGTTTCTTTCCTCTCTGGATCTGTTTCCTTAAGTGTAAAATTAGGGGCTTGTGCCAGATCTCTGAAGAGTTTTTCATTTCCAAAAATTCTGTGCTTCTGTTCAACCTCTTCTCCCATGTATTTTTGGCCCAAGAGTGAAATGATCTCTGGGTCTGCAGACTACTGTTGAGTGAAACCTGCATCTCTTACACCATAGGCTAACCCTAGGCACTTTACCACTGAATTATAAACTACAGGGGACTTGTAGGAAAAAGTAACTGTAAGATGGATGAACAGGGATGAACTGGATGGATGAACAGGGATGGATGAACTGTACCAGCCACAGCCCAAAGGGGGTGTGAGTGCACATATGTGTGTACATGTGAGTGCATATTCATGAGTGCTGTGTGTGTGTATGTGTGTGTATGTGTGTGTAGTACACCACCTGATCCAGAAATTCATCTTCACTCTAACTGTTCACCATTTAGAAGAGGGTTGGAAGATAGAAGAATAGAAGAATAATCCTCTGTAACAGAGGAAAAAGTTTTTTATTAAAGAGAGGATAAGTCATCATTAGGGCCAGGAGAAGGAGACCACATTTTTATAAGACTCTCTAGACACACACACACACACACACACACACACACACACACACACACAAAACACCAGTTTATCTTTGTAGGAGCAGGATATAGGAAGAATTTGCTTGGTCAGAGGTGAAAATCGTGGGCTCTTGGTGATTTAAAGAACTGAGCAGGAAAAAAAAAGGAAATCAAGAGTTCTTGAGTTTTAGTTTTATCTCCTTCTCAGGCCGGTCATATTTTCTTCCTCTCTAGCTGTTGTGGGATTATAGATTTAAAGTAGAAAAAGACTTAGAAGTTGTCAAGTTTAAAGCCCTCTCCTTCCATTTTATAGATGAGATAACTGAGGCCCAGAGATATTAAGTGATTCATTACATGCATAACAAGTGTTTGAGGCAGCTATTGAGCCCAGGTCTTCCTGACTCCAAGTCCACTATTCTATTCACCATACCAGTGGTATCAAACTCAAATAGAAATGGGGGGCCTCTAAATAAATACAAAGATCTTTGCAGGTCTCATATTGACTTAGAAAACCATATATGTTTATATATTTATTTTTTATTAATACATCAACATGTTAAAATTAGATAAGATCTACACTTTAATCTGGTTTGGACTGTCCTCAGAAATGCTGTGGGCCACCTGCACCCCTGCACATTAACCCTTCTGTTCTATACCATGGTGCCTCTCTGCTTATTTTAATTTATAAAATAGGGTTAGGAATTGTCACTGTCCACCCCAGGGGTGTAAACATGTGCTCATTCGCCATGAAGCCTTTCCCCCAAAATGTCTAAAAAATACATCCTAGGGAACTGTGCCCAATGGGCTGCCCCGACTGAAGGCTTTTGTGACTATGAGAAAACTCCATGATTTCATCATTAGAGGGGACTCCCTCTCCCAACAGAGATCATGTGTCCTTTCATTGAGTCCTCAGGAGTCACTTGAGCTGCCTGTCAAGTGTATGCAGATTAAGGCCAGAGTTATAGGATGAGCTAGCATCAGAGGCAGGATTTGAACCCAGGTCTTCCTGACTCCAACCCCAGAATCCTTTCCTCTGAGTCATGCTACCTCTGCATATTGAGAGTAAAGAGAAATGAAGTAACTCTGAAAACTTCAGGCATCAGGTTCACTTCCCCAGAAAGTATAAAGGTTGGTACTGAGGACAAAGGGCTTGACCCTCATTTATGGGATAAGCTTCCACTTTGGGATTTGAATCTGATCAAAGCAATGTGCTACTCTCTGGGTGTTATATGTAGTCATTAGACTACCTTACAGGGCATTTAGGCATTCCTGAGGGGTTTATGGGGCACTTTGTATTAGATAGAAATTTTCAATTCCATCTTACTTCTTGTTGTTCAGTTGTTTCAGTCATATCTGACTCTTTATGCCCCCATTTGGGGTTTTCTTGGCCACGATACTAAAGTGGTTCACCAATTCCTTCTCCAGCTCATTTTGTAGATGCGGAAACTGAGTCAAATGAAGTTAAGTGACTTGCCCAGAGTCATACAGCTAAGTGTCCAAGTTCAGATTTGAACTCAGGAAGATGAGTCTTACTGACTCCAGGTCCAGCACTCTATCTACTGCACCACCTAGGTGCCCCCTCCATCCTACTACTTGCAAAGAAACACTCTAGGTGAAAAGGGGTCTAAGAGCTGAGCTCAAGACCACTTTAGAAGGCCCATACCTTAGATCAGCAAGGCTAGGATCACCCCACCTTCACTGACACCAATCCCTTACCTCAGAGACAAGGCAGCAAAAACAGAGCGGTTGTTACCCCAGACGGATCTGGGACTTAACTATCATCAATTACTGAAAGCCCTATCTGAAGAGGTTCCATTAAGTAGCAGTAGCATCTTGGGAAATCTACCCAGTCCATTGGGTAATGTACTATACCCTGGTGGTTGGCTCCTTTTTGGTTGTTTTCCTGAGCAAGATTGGTGTGACCAGTTACCTCACCAACAGCATGCCCACACTGGAGCGCTTCCCCATCAGCTTCAAAACCCACTTCTCAGGGAATTACTTCCGACACATCGTGCTGGGGGTGAACTTTGGGGGTCGCTATGGAGCGCTAGGCATGAGCCGCCGTGAGGACCTCATGTACAAGCCTCCCACTTTCCGCACGCTTAGTGAGCTGGTCCTGGATTATGAGGCTGCCTACCAGCGCTGCTGGCATGTCCTGAAGAAGGTGAAGCTTGGCCAGTGTGTTTCTCATGACCCCCATAGCGTGGAGCAGATTGAGTGGAAACACTCTATCTTGGACGTGGAGAAGCTGGGGCGAGAGGACTTCCGGAAGGAGCTAGAGAGGCACGCCAGAGACATGAGGCTAAAGGTTAGTTTTGGAAAGGAGGGGATTAGGGATGTTGGGAGAGGAAGAGAAAGTAGTTTACTATTGTGGAAGGAGTATTAGCCTGGGAAACTAAAATACCTGAATTATGTCATTACCTGCAGAAACCATTTTCAAAATTTTAAAATCTGCAGGCATCGGTTTCTTCATTTATAAGATGAAGGAATTGGCCCACATGATATTAAAAGTCCCTTTCAGTTCTAATATTGTATGAGTCTGAAAACCTGCCTGCACGGAGAGAGTTAGTTAATAGGTTGAGCCACAGAGGGGCCCAAACTATTCATGTGGAATTTAATAGAGATAAATGTGAAGTTCTACACCTGAGTTCAAAAAAATCAACCATAATGGCAGCTAGGTGGTGCAGTGGTTAGAGTACTGTCCCTGAAGTTAGGAGGACTTGAGTTCAAATCTGGCCTCAGATACATAACACTCACTAGCTGTGTGACTCTGGGCAAGTCACTTAACCCCAACTGCCTCACCCCCCCAAAAAAAAATCAACCATAGAAATACAGGATGGCTGAGCTATAACTAGACCACAGTACCTGGGGATCTAGGGAGTTTGGGAGTCTTACAAACTCTATGTGAGCTAGCAATGTGGTATCAGTGAATAAACATTTATTAAGCACTTACTGTGTGCCAGACGCTATGCTATAAGACAAATGCAATACCCCTTAGTCAAGCAATAGGTCTAGAATTAGGAAGATGACTCCCATTACACTCTAAATCATATCATATCTGGGGTACCATGTTAAAATCTGGTTACCGTATATTAGGAAGAACATTAATAAAGTGTAACATGTGCAGAGGAGGCTAACCAAGAGAGTAGAAGAACTGGAAACCATGACATCTGAGGATCAGATGGAACAAGGAATGTTTAGCCTGGAAAAGAGGAGACTTGAGGGTCAGGGGTTGAAGAAGAAATTGGTTATGGTCTTCAAAGCACTTAGCACAGTTCCTGATACATAGTAAGTGCTTAATAAATGTTTATTAATTGGTTGTTTCAAACAGTTACAGTCAGACTGTCCAGCTGGAAGAGGGATTATTAATCAGCCCTAGAGGTCAGAACTAGGAACAATGGCTACAGCTTGCAAAGAAGCAAATTTTAGCTTAATATAATGCAAAGTTCCTTTAATTAAGGCTATTCCAAACTGAAATGGGCAGTTTCAGGAAGGAGTGACTTCACTTTTGCTGGTGGCTTTCAAGTAGAATTGAATGACCACTTGTCAGGTATATTTTGGAAAGAAGGAAAGAAGGGAGGAAGGGAAGAAAGAAGGAAAGGAGGGAGGGAGGAAGAGAGGGAAGGAGAGAAGAGAGGGAAGGAGAGAAAAGAGGGAAGGGAGGGAGGGAAGGAAGGGTAAGAAAGGAAGGGAGGAAAGAAAAGAGTGAAGGAAAGAAGGAAAGAAAGGAAGAAGGAAGGAATGAAGGAAGGAAAGATTTATTAAGTGCCAGAAACTGTGCTAAATGTTTTAGAATTATCTCATTTTATCTTCACAACAACCCTACTATTATTATTCCCATTTTACAGTTGAGGAAACTAAGGCAGGAGGAGGTTAAGTAACTTGCTCAGAGTCACACATCTCATAAGTGTCTATGGCCAAATCTGAACCCAGGTCTTCCTGATTCCAGGCCCAGTGCTTTATCCACAGTGTCTCCTGCCTACCTTTAGATGGCCTTTGACATCCTTTAAACTCTGAGATTTGTGTGTGTGTGTGTGTGTGTGTGTGTGTGTGTGTGTGTGNNCAAGATGACCATTGACTTGACAAGCAGAGAGCAGTCCTCCAAGGATTAGGTCATGGGGACAATCCTGGGAGGTTGGGATAAAATGAAGTGAGGAGAGGACCCCTTCCTCTTCTTTCTCTATAACCTCCAAGCTGAGCCCCAAAGTCCTCCCATGGTGCCCTGGGCCTCAGAGCTAAAGGGTGCCTTTCTTCCTGGCCACCTTTGAGCTTCCAGAAAAGGGTCTTGAATTCTAATCCTCCATTGTCAATTTCTAGAAAAGCTGAAATGGTACAAGCTGTTCCTAATAAACCAGTTTAGTTTAATTATAATCGCGCACAAAAGTACGTTATAATTATTCTCTCAATATATACCCTGTCAGTACAGTTCGAGGAACTATACTAACCAAACCAGGGTCTCTGGTCACATTAGTCCAGAAGCATGTGGATTAGCCAATACTTTTCCACTGGAGAGAGAGGATTGAGCAATAGTAGAATGTGTGGTCTTTAGTGGGCAAAGTGTTTTTCCTGCCTGACATAATGATGGGGGAAATTTGGGGATGGCGAAGGGAAGTGCTGCAGATCAGGGACAGACAAGCCCAAACAATGACATTAGTCATCTTTGGGTATAAAGTTCCCCGTCAAAGCTGGAGTCTAGTCCATGCTTAACCCTTAGAATGGGTATGATTGCTGTGGAGACTCTCACAGTAGCAGAGGTGGGGGATGCCGAGACAGGAGCCAGACTTTACCAGGTCCTTTGTGGTATAAGCATCAGGAATGGCTGGAAGGGCCCTGAGTAGAGGATGATTTAGGGATTCTCGGGGCTTTTCTGTGTCCCAAGCCTCCCTGAATTCCTTTGGCCTTTTGGTGCTCATTTGGGTTGTGTGTTCTAGGGTCCTAAGATGATGTCTTGAACTTCCCTCATCTCCTTTATCCTGATGTTTACAGATTGGCAAAGGGACCGGCCCACCCTCTCCTACCAAGGATCGGAAAAAGGACGTATCCTCCCCACAGAGGAGCCAGTCCAGTCCACACCGCCGCAACAGCCGAGGAGAGAGACGGTAAGGAAATGGGTAATTGGTAACAAGGTGGAGCAGAGACAAGGGATTTTTCAAATTGCTTTGTTTTCCCCTTCTATTCTTTTATCCTGCCTCAATAATAATCATGTATAGTGCATAAAAGTTTGCAAATACTTAAAACATTGCATCGGAGCACCAGGGTTTGATCCTTACAACTACTGTCAGGTAGGTAATGTAAATATTATTTTCCCCATTTTATAGTTTAAGAAACTGAGGCTCAGAGAAGTTAAAAGATTAAATAAACTTCACTATTATAGGTTGAGAAAGACATGTCTGGGTAATAGTTCATCTGAAAAAGTTTTGGGAGATTTTAGTAGACTCGAAGTTCAATATAATAATGGCACCTAGCGTTTATATGGCACCTACTACGTGCCACACACTGTGCTAAGTACTTTACAAATATGATTCATTTGATCCTTACAACAACCCCTGCAAGGTAGGTACTATTGTTATCTCCATTTTATAGTTAAGGAAACTGAGGTGAACAGAGGTTAAGAAATTTGCCTAAGATTACACAGCTAAGTGAGTGACTGAGGCTAGACTGAATCTCAGGTCTTCCTGACTCCAGGCCCATTGTTCTGTCCTCACTACCTATGTGTAATGGGAAAAATCAATAACTAATTGCTTGGGTACTTTGCTTTGCATCACTTTGCTAATCATCTATCAGCTGTAATCATAAGAAATAACTGTGTGATTTATAGTAAGAATATAGTCCCGGGTGAAAACCTGTATGTAACTGAAACTCTAATGTAATCCTGGCTAATGTGTCAGCTAATCTGAGAAATGTAGCCATAATCATCTTTATATTAAAATACACTGGGTTAAAGGTGGATCTGACCTATGATGTAAAAGATAGACCTGCAAATATAAGACTTGTAAATGTAATATACTTATGCTTGAGTAAAAGACCTACTTGAGCCATAGAATGACCTATGCATTTGTGCCATGGGTTGACCAACTTAAATCAAACATGAATCAAGACAGCTATAAATAACTGAACTCTGTAGCTCAGGGTCTCAGACCATACTGGCAGTACTGCAGACTACCACCTTTGTTTCTCTTAATAAAGGTTGGTTTCTTTGCCTTAGCTTCCTAGTTTCTTTTTAATATATGTAAGTCAATGATAACAGCCAAGGAAGTTAGTGTAATCTTAGGCTGCATGAAGAAAAGCATATTTTCTAGGAATAAGGTGACAGTCTCACCATTCTCTGCCTTGATCAGACCACATCTGGAGTACTGAACCACATTTCAGAAAGGCTGTCATTAAGCCACAGACCATCCAGAGAAGGGCAACCAGAGGGTTCACACCATATGAGGATTAATTGAAGGAACTTAGCAATGTTTGTCCTGGATCATAGAAGACTTATGGGGGATGTATACTCTTCAAGTATTTAGAGGTCCATCATGTGGAAAAAGACTTCTGCTAGAAGTCAAACTAGGATTAGTGGGTAGAAGTTTCAAAGGGAAAAATTTAGACTTAATGTCAAGGGAGAAGGAAAAAAACCTTCCTAACAATTAGCATTGTCCAAAAATAGTGAGCTACCTCCAGAGGTAGTGGGTTCCCAATTACTAGAGGTCTCCAGGCAAAGGCTGGATTACTGCATCTCCTATGTGCTGTAGAAGGGATTCGTATTCAGGTATAGGTTGGAATAATATTCTATGGTCTTATAGCTAGTCAGTACCAGAGGCATAATTTGGACATCACTTTTCTTAAGACCCCTGCTTATACCTGTCATAGCTTCTTAAAGAAAATAAGACCCTAGCTACTGCCTGTTGTGGCTGAGTTTCCCCTGTGCTTTGGAGGAAAAGACTTTGCAATTAATAGAACCAAAAAAACAATTCTAAGACTGGTTGCATCTCCCCAGAGCCAGGGACTAGTGATGTCTTTAAAATTAGGGCTGGAACTACATACCTGTAATAGGAAATTTATTTTTCCTTCATTCTCAATGGCAGGGGAGTGTGGGAAGAAGGTAGAATTTTGCTGATTGGAATATAAATATATATATATGTATGTATATATAGACACACATGCACACACATGCACACACACTTATAAATTTAAAAACAAGCCAAAAAGATAGAGGGGACTATAAGGTATGAGTTAGCTCAAACAACAAGCATTTATTAAGCAAAAACTAGGTGATGGGTACCAGAGAGTCAAGGACAAAATCGAAACAGTCTCTGCCCTCAAGGAACTTACATTCTTCTTTGTTTGTTTGTTTGTTTGTTTTTAATAGTATTTTATTTTTTCTAATTCCATGTAAAGAGAATTTTCAACATTCATTTTTGAAAGGTTTTGAGTTCTAAATTATTCTCCCTTTCTCTCTCCCCTCCCCCCTCTCTCCTTTCCAAGATAGTGAGCAATCTGATATAGGTTATAAATGTGCAATCATGTAAAATATATTTCCACATTAGTCATGTTGTGAAAGAAGAAATAGAACAAAAGGAAAAAAACATAGACCAAAATCCCCTAGAAAGTGAAAATAGTATTCTTCAATCTACATTCAGACTCCATCAGTTCTTTCTCTGGATGTGGATAGCATTTTCCATCCTGAGTCTTTTGGAATTGTCTTAGATCATTGTGTTGCTGAGAAAATCTAAGTCAATCATAGTTGATCATCTCACAATGTTGCTGTTAAGGGAGCTTACATTCTAACAGGGGAGTATGAGTATGAATACACATATACACACATACATACTTACTCTATATTATCCAGATAAACTGGTCTACTTGCTATTCCTCACACACAGCAATCCACATCTCATTTCCATACCTTTGCACTGGCTATTCTTACTTAAAAAAGGCGGGATGGTTCCAAATTGTGAAGACCTTTAAATATGCCAAAGAGGCAATTTCGTTTGATCTTAGAGGTAAGAGAGAGCTAATGAATTCAGAAGTAACATAGAGTAGAACTTTAAGAAAATCTCTTTGGTGAATGAGTAGAGGATATAATGGAAGGGGTGTGTGTGGAGAGGGGTAGATTAAAAGTAGGGAGACTGATTAAGAGTCTATTGTAGTAGTCTAAATGAGACATTATGAGAGCGTTGGTCCTGGAGTCAGGAAAACCTGAGTTCAAATCCAGTGTCAGAGACATATTAGTTGTATGACCCTAGGCAAATCATTACACCTCTGTCTGGTTTCTCAGGTGTAAAATAAGGATAATAATAGCACCTGCCTTCCAAAGGTAGTATAAGAATTGACCAAGATAATATTTGTAAAGTGCTTAATAGAGTGCCAGGCACATAGTAAGTACTTAATAAACATGTGTGTGTGTGTGTGTGTATGTGTGTGAGAGTGAGAGACAGACAGACAGACAGGCAAGCAGGCAGACAGACAGACATATTGAGATGTTATGGAAACAGAAATGAAAAGATTTGGCAACTGGTTGGATATGTGGAGTGAAAGAGAATGAGAAAGTAAGAATGACACTAAGATTGCAAACCTGTATGACTGGAAAGATGATTATACCTTTGAAAGTAATAGGGAAGTTCAGAAGAGAGGTGAGTTTTATGGGAAAGATAATGAGTTCTGTTTTGGATATGTTGAGTTTGAGATGCTTCCATTTTGAAATGTCCAAAAGGCAGTTGGTGATGTAAGATGAAGCTAAGGGTAGAATCTAGGGCTTGCTATATAGAGCTGAGATTCCTCTGCATGGAGATCATTATATCCATGGGAACTGATGAGAGCACCAAATGAGAGATAGAAGAGAAGAGGGACACAAACAGAGCCTTGGAGTTCACTCAAAGTTAGGGGGCATGATATGGATGATGTTAGTCACTGGAGATAAAAAAATGCAAAAGCAAGAGAGACCCAGCCTGAAAGAACATTACATTCTACCCAGAAGAACTGAGTTCAGTGCCCAGCTCTGCTACTTAATACATCTGTGTCCTTGGGCAAATCACTTTACCCAGATGAGCCTTGGTTTCCTCATCTGTAAATTAATTCTTGGAGAAGATGATCTCAAAGGTCCCTCCCTGCTCTAATGTTCTGTGATTTCATCTGCTTCTTGCTGGTGTACCTGTTATTTCATCATTTCACTTTCACCCCTCTGTTTTGAAGGCTTTTTGTCTTTAAGAACCTTCTCCCTCACTATTTAAAATGCCAGTGCCCCTGGGATAAAGCCGATGTCCCCTAAGATAGTGTTAATTAACATCTTAGTTATCATTTAATACCTTGGCAAGGATTAGTTGACAGCTAGCTGAAAGTGAACTTTATAAGTGTTTGGGGAAATTTCTATACTGTCAAAGTAAAATTTAGGAATAATTTTTAGAAAGTAAAAATAATAGCTATCATTTATATAGTTATTTAAGATTTGTAAAACATTTTACAGATATGATGTCATTTGATCCTCACAACAACCTGGGGAAATAGTATTATTATCCACATTTTATAGATGAAGAAACTGAAGCAGACAGAGGTTAAGGGACCTGTCCAGGGTTACTTGTCTGAGGCCAGGCTTGAACTCAGGTCTTCCTGATTCCAGGTCCAGTGCTCTATCCAGTGCCACATCTAGCTATGTCAAAATAGGTTAAGAAGAAATATACTCTTATATATCTCCTCTCTTTACCCTTCTTTCAGCCAACATATTATTTTAGGCAGCCTTGTGTAGTAGAAAGAGTGACTAGGTAACAGCCACATTGTGTGATGACTAACTTTGATAGACTCATCTCTTCTTAGCACTGCAGGGGTCTAAGACAGCTCCAAAAGACTCATGATGGAAAATGCTATCCACATCCAGAAAAAGAATTATGGAGTCTGAATGTAGATTGAAGCATACTATTTGCTCTTTTTTTGTTTCTTCTTTCTCGTGGTTCCTCCCACTGGTTCTAATTCTTCTTTACAACATGACTAATGTGAAAACAGGTTTAATGTGAATGTATATCTAGAGCTTATATCAAATTGCATGCTGTCATGGGGTGGGGGAGGGGAAAGATGGGGAGAAAATTTGGAACTTAAGATCTTATGGAAGTGAATGTTGAAAACTAAAAATAAATAAATTATTTTTTAAAAAAGGAGTGACTAGGAGACCTGAGTTCTAATTCTGGCCTTGCCACTATCTGGGCCTCCGTTTCCTCATCTGGAATATGAAATATTTGAACTAGATGATCTCTTAGGTCCATTCCAGATTTAAGATTGTAACATTCTATTTCAATATTTGCCAAACTCTGTCCCATGGAACCTCTGTAGTTCAGTACAATGTTTAGTATGGAAAGTTGTGATGTTGGTGATAAAATATTAAATTGTGTATTATAAGGTCCCCAGCACTTTAGGTGGCCCTCCTATGGTGAATTTTTGAGAGGAATGAATGAATGGATAGATAGATGAAAACATTTACTTAGTACTTCCTTTTTGCCAAGCACCATGCTGAGTTCTGGGGATACATGTAGAAAACCAAGGCAATCTCTGCTCTCAAGGAACTCATGTTGTAATTGGATGAGCCAAGACATCAAGGATGATTCAGTTTCAGGGCCAGTGGTATTCAGGGTGCAGTTACTAAGTAGATGACAAGACCTAAAGTTCCTTAGGGAGCATTAAGAGGTCAGAGAGTAATAGCTAGAGGTTTGGAGAGTTAGCAATAAGGCAATGGTAAGGTCCAGTGGTCTTCCATCTTATCAGAAGGGTTGTAATTGGTGACTCTATGATCATTTAAGTGGTGTGAACAACCATGTCTACTCACATCCAGCAGGATTGGGAGTGGGGAGGTTGGAGGTGCCCAACCCAAATCAATCAATAAGCATTTATTAAGTGCTTGCTGTATGCCAGGCACTATGCTAAGTGGTGGGGATATAAGTAAAAAGCAAAAACAATTCCTGCCCTCAAGGAGTTTACATTCTAAAGGGGACAACAATCTATATAAATTAATGCAGAAAAAAATAAGTACAGAGTAGAAGGAAGGCAGCCTCGAGAGGAAGACACTAGTGCCTTGGAAAGGGGGATAGTTGGGTGTGAGGGCCACGAAAAGGCCCCAGGAGAAGTAGCTCTTAAGCAGAGTCCCAAGAAAATCTAACAATTTGAAGAGTCAGAGGTTGGGAAAGAGAGCATTCCAGTCATGGGAAACATCCAGTATAAAAGCACAGCAACAGAGGAGCGTCTTGTTTGAGGAACAGCAAGTAGTCTAGTATTACAAGATCATAGAATTCATGGAGGGAAATGGAATGAAAGAAGACGGGCAAGGTAGGAAGGGCCCAGATGATGGAGAGCTTTAAATGTCAAAAGATTTTGTATTTAACCTTAGAGGTAATAGGGAGCCACTGGAGTTTACTGAGCAGAGGAATGGCAAGTGCCTCTCTACTCTCACTTGGTCATTTTGTGTGGAGGATAGATTGAAATGGAGAGAGAGACTTGAGACAGGATGACCAGTTAGAAAGCTATTGTAAGGTGTTGTCCAGGTAAGATATGATAAGGGTCTGAACTAGGGAGGGGCTGGGATGTGGAGAGAAGGGGACTTATGGGAGACGTGTTGTAGATAAAGGAATCACAAGATCTGACAACTTTTATGTGGGGTTATCCAAATGATGACCTATCCTTGGGGTGGGGAGTACTCACAGTTAGTAGGTGTGACATAGGTGAAGATCCAGCAAAACAGAGAAGGATAAGCCAGATATATAGGAGAAAGACCAAGCAAGAGCAAATTCTGTTAAGAGACAACGTTGGAAGGGTTTAGAAAAGAATGAGAAGAGAGATGAAGGTGCTGATTGTAGACATTTCCAAGGAGTTTAGAAAGGGGAGGAGAGATAAGAGACAATAACTTGAGGGGATGGTAGGGCATAGTGAATGATTTGTTTGTTTGTTTTTTAATGCATGGGGGAAGACAGGGCATGTTTGAAGGTAATAGAGAGGGAACCAGTAGATGGGGAAAAGTTGAAAATTAGAAGGTGGGAATGATTGAGGTTGCAATTTTGTGAAGTATATGGGAGGAGATGAAATCAAGGGCACATGTAGAGGGTTGAGTCCTTGTAAGGGAAAAGGCGACTTCTTTGTCAGATACTGGAGTAAAGACTGAAAAAATGGAGACTGATGTCAAGGGGTTATGAGATCAAGAGAAAGAGAAAAGGATCTAATGAAGAATGGCCTCAGTTTTTGTTTTGTTTTCAGTAAAGTAAGATGTAAGACACTCTTCTGAAGGAGAATAGGGAGGAGGAAGAGTGGAAGGCTTAAAGAGAGAAGAGAAGAGATTTGGAATAACTTCAATAAGGAGTAAAATACAGTATGATAGTTACAAGGAACAGCTTTTTTTTTTGTAGAAAAATTAGCCAGGTTCTTCTTTTGTTCCAAAACTTTCCCAATCTCCCTTTGTGCCTCCAAGCCAACATATATGGGTTCCATAATTATATTTCAAGTCCAAAAAGGTTATATGTTGTTGTTGTTCAGTCGTTTTTCAGTCGTGTCCAACTTGTCATGATCCCATTTGAGATTTTCTTGGCAAAAATACTGGAGTGGTTTGCTGTTGCCTTCTCCAGCTCATTTTACAGATGAGGAAACTGAGGCAAACAGGGTTAAGTGATTTGCCCAAGGTTACACAGCTTGTAAGTGTCTGAGGTCAGATTTGAACTCAAGAAGATTAACAGGACGCAGAATAGCCACTTGAATGGGCATAAGGAGGAGGGGAAAGAAGAGAGGGAGAAAGAGCACAAATCAGGGTGAGCAAAAAATGCCAGCCATTCCTCTCTAGGGCCCTTCCTTTAAGGAATGGAGTGAGATGATAAGAAATTGACATGGCTCCCTCCCAATAGTAACTGTCCTTTAGTTCTCTCTGACCTATCTTATTTACTCATCCATTTCATGTCCTGTTCCTTCTCTTCTTTCTTCCCTGCAGACCATCTGGTGAAAAGAAGCCTGCTGAACCCAAAGCCATGCCAGACCTCAATGGGTACCAAATCCGGGTGTGAGGTGAGTGGTGATGATACCACTTGCTCCACAGACTTGCCACTACTCCCTCCGCCACAGGACCAAGAGCCACCCACCGTGAGCCTTGATTGAGGGGAGGTGTGGGTTGAGGGGACAGTAGGAGGAGCCCAGAACTCCTCTTCATCTGACAACACTGCTTCCCTCAGGCAGAACATGGGTCTCACCCAGCATTTGTGGAAGAGGCATATTGACCCTAAAGGGAAGAGGAAGAGGAGTCAGTATGATCCCAGAGATTTGTTTAATACATCACATAAAGCAACGTGTTGAACAGGTCACACCCGTCTCAGGGCAAGTGGTGTCCTCGAGATAACTGGCTGTGACCACGTAGTCCCCATGGGAAGCACTGCCAGGACTAGACAATGCCTACAAGCCCAGCATATAGACTGGAGCTACTCCTTAGGCAATGCACCAGAGAACCATGATGCCACCAGAGATAAGGAGAAGGCATCCCCCATACGTAGCACTGGCAGCTGTTGCCTCCCAGGCTTTGAGAAGCATCAGTTGCAAGGCTCAGTCTCAAGCCCATCCTATGGCCATCTACCCATAGGTCTCTTTGCAGCAGGGTTTGGACTTCTCTGGAGCCCGAGGGCTCCAGTTTTGGAGTCATGTTGGGTTGGCCATAGGTGAGCATCCAGGGTAGCACAGACCAAGAAGAAAGAGGCAAGCACCATAACTCATGATAGATGGGACACCATGGAAGGTGAAGAGTCTTGTATCAGCTCTGGTTCTCCTCCCTTTCCTTAGGCAGGAGCTGAATTCTCCTCCTCTCCCCTCTCCCAGAGCATCAGTACAATTTTTGGTCTTCTTCCTCAGGCAGAGAATTAGGGATTGGGGATGATGATGCTTGGGGTTGATTGCTCTTCCCTCTTTCACCAGCTAAATTTAGTGATTTTGGTGACGATGATCCTAGCTGTGTATAATAGGAAGGAACTTCCTGCCATCAGATGGGATTTTCAGCAGCTCCCCAGTCCCAGTTAGAAAGATCTGTGTTGAAATAGTCAGGCCCATTAGGCATCGAGTGCATTTGTAATAGGAAGTACTAACCCAGGTTTCGGACAGGAGAAAGAGGCAAAGAAACTCTGAAAGGATCAGAATGCCCTTGGGTGGGGGGCATCCATAGTGAGTGGGTATGACGTGAATGAAGAGCCAGAGAAAGAGGCAGTGACGGAGCAACCAGACGTGTAGGAGGACTGAGAGAGGTGTTTCAGTTGAGTGAAACCCAGGGGTGAGTAGGAAGAGGCAGAGTAGTTCAGAAGGTTGGAGGTTAATGGGAGAAGGCAGTGGGGCACTGAGAAGGCCAGGACATAGTGGCAGGAGGCAGAAGGATGCTAAAAAGTCAAGGGTTAGTGGAAGCAAGCAGTAGGACACTGAGCAGTCCAGGGCATAGTGGCAGAAGACAGAAAGAATGATGGTGGTAGACCCAGGAGAAGGAACCCAAGACTCTTATAGCAAGGAGGCAGGGTAAGGCCCCATTACAGCAGCAGAGTCATGGGGAGATGAGGGGGCCAATCTAGAAGGCCCAAAGGCAAAGTTCTGGGAGTCATTGTAAGGCTACAAGGAAGGACTGACGGATGTAGCAGAATGAGTATGTTGAAGGAGGGTTGTATGGGGGTGTTAGTTATACTCTGAATATACCAGATAAAGGACCTAGAATAAGCATGGGCCAATGGGAGAAGGAAAGTCAAGGTAGAGCAAGTATGAGGTGATGCTTTGGGGAAGACAAAGAGAAAACATGAAATTCACAAATTTCAGAAAGAGCAAAAGGAAAGAGGAAACATCATCCATGCTATTGAATTCAAAAGAAAATGGACGTTCAGCTGAGAGGTATAGATAAGAGCATGGGAACAGACACAGAGCATTGAAGTGACCCTGGAGTTGTTTATCCTGCTCCGAGTGGTTGCTGTATCACTGAGTGGGGGCAAGGAATAGAGCAAAAATGGATATAGGCCAGAGTTCAGCAGTGGAAGAACTGATAGGGCCTAGAAAAGAAGAAAAGCCTCAGGCCCAGAAAGAGGGTGAGGACAGAGAAAACAAACTTGGTGCTGACCAGGACTCCCACTCCCAGTCATTCCACCGATGGGGGCAGGCATCAAAGCAAGCCAGCACTTTGGAATGCCCCTAGCCCAGAGGAAAGCAGCCTGGGCCTCAGGGCTTGGCATAGATGTCCAGATCCTGTGGAGTAAGGACTGACCCTGATTTGGGTGCTCCCACAGGGGATGGAGAGACTACAGAGGCTAGCATTTGGCTTAGTCTGGAGAAGCAGGAAGAACAGGAGCTACCTTTCCTGGCCCCCAGTAAGGGGAAGTTATACCTGGTAACAGCTGTTGTTGGTATGTGGGCATAGGGGGTAGTTATTAGGCTCAAGAGGAAACAGTTGCCTTTCTCAGCAGCTGTCAAACCCCAAAGATTGCCAAGAGGCTTTGGGGTGACAGCTGGTCTATCTGACTTGGAGACTGCAACCCCAGGCTTGGCTTTACCAGACCAAAGGGCCAGCCATCTGCTTCACCACCTATAGCCAATGCAGCCCCAGGAGCTGGGATAGATGGTGGGGAGGAAGGTGGCTAGTCAGACTCCAGTCTCACTAGCTCACCCTTGGGGCTAATAGGCAGCCCTACTGCCTTCCTGTGCCAGCCCTGCACCCAACCCTCCCAAGGAAGGAACCTGAGGATGTGTCTACACTAACTCAACCAGGAATCTTATTTCACAACACTGGGAAGGAACCTAATCTTCCCCATCCCCCTACCACTACCCACCATTTCACGGTGGTTTTCCAAACAGTTAGGTAATGATGGTCATGACATGTTTATAATTACTGAAAAAAATAACTCCCTTTGGCAGGATGAACCGTAAGACTGAAAATGAGTGATTTGTTGGTACAGTGTGGCCCCTTAAATTTTGCCCCAGTTTGGGACACACACCCCTCTAGTAAAGAAGGAGGTATGAGGTGGTAACTTGAGGATAGGAGGTCCCCCCAACCTCTTCCTGTTAAAACTAAGAGCCAAGCAGCGGCTTAGCCTTTCCTGTTGGTGATTTCCCCAGACTATTCTCTGGGGCTCGGGGCAATGTAAGGAAAATCATGTGAAAAACAAAAACAAAAAAAAAACCTCACTGGTGCTTTTTATTTATTTTTTTAAAAGTGTTTTTTTTATATGTAGCAATCCCACCTCCCTTCCCTCTCCCACTACATTTACACTTTGTTCCCTGGGGAGGGTGGGAGAGGACTAAGGGGAAAGCAGGAAGCTTTGGTTTTTAGTTTCCCAGCTGGGGGGAGACATCCACCCCAACTCAGTGTTTGCTTGGAGCTAGTGGGAGGAGAGACAGTGTTGACCCTATTGCCTTTTCCTTCCAGTATCAATTTAATTGAGTTTCCCTCTGACTCTACCGTCTCTGGAAGCTCCTGGTCTCAAACTGTCCTGGTCCCAGTCCTATGGAACAGATAGGAATTCATGGCACACTCCCCCTTCCCCTATGAATCATCAGTCTATCTGCCCATCACCACCTTGTTTGATTTTTTTTAACCATAATATTACCTCCTATGACTCCATCAGGATATAATAAGGAAAACTATGGGCATGAAAGAAGGCATCAGCATCACCCAGTCTGTTTACCTTCACCATCTTTGCTAGCAGCCCCATGGGGTTACATTTAGGTGAGAGCAATCATAATTGAGAATGAAGGGGATGATAAAAATCACCTAGAGACCCTGTCAAGCTATACTGATGGGGTAGAAGAGGCCTTATATTCCTGGGTTCTCAGGGGCAGAAAGAGTCATGGAGTAGTTGGCTGATAATCTAGAGGGCACCCTGTAGTTTCGAATTCTCCTGCTCCAGACCCAGCTCTTTCAGTGACTACAGCTAAATCCTGGCTGCTGTGTACCTATACTTTTGAGCACTTATGCATTTGCTCCCATGCTCTTACAGTTGCAGCTCTGGCTGGATGCACAGTCAGGCACCTGTGGGCTTTCATTCTTGTCTTCTCAATTAGCGGCAGTCAGAGCCTGAAAACACCACACCATTGCTTCAGCCCCCATATGAAATGGCTGCCAGCAGTAATGTGTGCTTGGAGGGGGCAGAGGGAGCAGGGATTGGCCTCCTTCCATCCCTGACAGTCTGTGAATTCCATGGTGTGCCATAGCCTATACCAACATAAGCCCTTGCCTCTCCATCACCATCTTCCTTAGCCCCATTGAAAAGCCAAGGTCAGAGGGAGAATGGACTAACCCATTCTGGAAGGGTCAAGGATTTGATAGAGAGAACCCGACCCCAAAATCCCCTGACCTAGAAACCACCTGACCCCATTCACCTTGCCTCTCTGTGGTGCCATCTGGTTCTCTATCTCCATCTCACCTTTTCCATTTGTAGGGTAGGCCCTGACATGGTGCTAGCCCCATGCCAAACAGTATTGGTCCCTTCTAAGTTACTTCCTGGTGCTGTGGAGTCACATAAGTTTCCCTTAATCATGAAGTTTGAAAAGGATAGAAGAGGAGCTCAGGCATGCCTGGCACATGTGGACAAAACGATGGAATCTCTCTCTCTCTCCCTTGTGTTTTGTATCTGGCTATGTACCATATATAGAATTAGTTCTCTCTGATTCCCTGTATTTCCATCCCTTCGTATCAGTATTCAAACCCCTCTCACTTTTATGCTTTACCTCACTCTTGTCTTCACTTTTACACAATTAATAAAGTCTACCTAGCTCCTATTGTCTGGACTGGGCAGAAACCAGGACCTAACAACCTTGCCAGTTTTTTTCTTTCAGAATTTTCTGAGTCTCCACCCTTAGCTATCAACTCTGTACCACTCCCCCCATCAGCTCTGTCTCTGGGGAGAGGGTGGGAGGGAAGACAGCTGTCTGAGGAAATGAAGAAGGAAGAAGGGGGGTGGGGAAGAGCCAGTGGTATAGGATTAAAATCTTCTATCTCTGGGATGCTGAAAGTTTCCATTTCAATTTAATGTCCTTCACCCCTCCTCAGACAGTCTGTATTTTTCAACCCTCATTTATTAACAGGTCCACTACTCCATCCAGAAATGCTTCTCTTTCTCTCCTGTGCACAGCCTGGAGGGT